GACTGGATAAAGAAGATGCGTTTTTTGTTTTTTTTTTTTAAATAAAATGGAGTACTACTCAGCCATAAAGAACAAGAAATTAAAGTCATTTATAGCTAAATGCATGCACATTGAGGCCATACTCTTTAGTGAAGTAAATAGGACACATACGTGTAAATGCCAAATAGTTTCTCTGGTGTGAGAAACTGAAAGTGTAAATAAGGATAAAATTGTATAATTAATGTGAAACAGGAAGAAAAGGTCTAAAGGGGAAGAGAAAGTGGGAGGAGTAGGGGAAAAGAAAGAAGGGAAAGGAAAAATGGAAACAAAGTATTTGTAGATAGGGGTGGAGGGGCTGAAGAGAAGGCAGGGGAATGGGGAAAATATAAGAACCAAGATATATCATGTAAAGGTACAAATTCCCAATGATGAATGTCATCATATTGTATACCTAAACTGTACCAATAAACTTAATGAAAAAAAGTAAATAAAACCGAAAAGTAGCAAAGAATTTCTCTGAAGACAAAATAGAATGGATTTTAAATGTGGAAAAAACGACCAGACGTTCATAATCAGAAAAATGCACACTAAAACTACAGCAATAGATCATCACATACTAAAGATTTCAAATTGTGACCATTTATTTTAATAAAACATGTGGACTGGGTGCTCTTGTATGCTTACTGATGAGAATATAAATTGACACAGTCCCTAAGGACAGTAATTCAGTAACATTTATTAAAATAAAAAACAGATAACCTTTGGCCCAGTAATTCCAATTCTTGGGATTTGGCCTACGGACGTGTATGTAAGAGAGCAGCGGTGAGTGCACCAGAGTACGCGCTGCAGTGTCATCTGTAAAAACAAAGATGTTCAGCTGAGAACTTCTTTTAAAAATCAGGATAGAGCTATGCAATCAAATCCTTGAGAAACCGGATAGCATTTCACAAGGATGAATGTATTAAAATAGAATATTTTCCCAAATACCATTAGCAAACAGCCTGGTAAAGAGTGGTATGTGTCATATATTATCCAGTTGAGCATGAAGAAACCGGTGACAAAGGTTGCACCTGTGAAGAAGTGGCCTAGAGTTCAGGATGGGGACAGGTCTGCTTTTTTCCTGTACACTCATTTGCACTTTATGAACGATGTGCGTTGCTCACGTTTATCTCCTTACCATTTAATGTTTTCATGGGGATGGACAAGGTTAGTGACAGAGCTGGCTGCAGGGGGAGCCACTTACCAAAACAGAACAGCATGGGCCATGGGTGCAGGAATCGTGAATGTCAAGTTCAGCGAGAGCTAAGTTCAGACGAGACATCAAAACGAAAGTGACACAGAGGCAAGAAGAAACAGATACGCAGCTCAATAAAAGCTTAACTATGGAATAAGCACGTAAAAGACAGATGGGATAAAGGAAGAGGAGCTTTCACTTGCTGAAACGGACCTTCCGTTGTTGCTAATGAATGGAACTTAGAGCTCTGTGTATGCATTTACAAGTCATTAATAATAATGGCATAAGAAAGGCTTGTTCTCTATGGTTGCAGAGTTGATTGCAAACTGGTGGGGGCGTAATCTCTATCCTGCTTCTGTTTAAGCGCCCATGTATGATGATTATGTTGATATTTCCGTAGAGTTTGGGAAGGAATAGAAATCCAACTTGGGGCTTATCCTCAGACTAAAAGAGGGACCAGGTAATCATTATCCGAAACAATAAAGCCTTGCTTTCTTCATCTCATGTGGCCGGTGGGATTGCTGCCCCGGTCAAGCACATGAGTAGAAGTTGTAGAGGAGCACACACCTGTCTACCTGCCTTGCATTTCAAGCTCTGAGGAGGCAGAGGCAGTGATGTGGCTTCATTTACACAGTCTGGCAAAGCTGGCTACCTAGGTAGACTCTTGGTGGAGACATTTTGTTCTCAGTCGCGGTGGCGGTGGCGATAGCCATGGGGATGGTGGTGACAGTAGATGTCAGTGTTGTCCACCCCCTTGACAGAATCCTTCTCTAACAGTATCTTCCCCAAAGCAGTGCGCGGGGAGGGAAAGGAGCAAGGAGCCGGTTTCCAGTGCGGAGCCCTGAACCCTGCCTGAGTCGCCAGGCTGACCAGATGATAAGCGCAGTCATCAGACTTGCTCTTAGGTCCTTGCTGCTCATGTTTCTCCCAGCGAACAGGGCCGTGCTGTCAGCTAGGGGCCCAGCGCTTCTCTGCGGCACTAGCAGTGGGGCTTCCCTTGACAAATGAGGAGTCAATCTATTATTTCAGGTTTTACGAGGATCAAGCTGGGATTCTATTTCCATTCTATTTCCTAATAATAAAAGTAGTCTAAAAATAGTGTAATTTAAACTTTTTCCTAAAAGGGCCTTTGTGGCTCATTACACATAGTTCTCTGACGTTCCCAATCGGTCAAGCCATTTTGCTAAAATTTAAGCAGTTCAAAAATATTACACATCGTTAGAAAAGAGCTTGGATATATAGTGTAGGCCGACTCTGCCATCGTTACCCCATCACCATGTTGCTGGGAGGACCTGTTTAAAAAGCAGGGAAGATCTTGTGGTTTTTCTTGTTCTTCTAAAGGAGAAAATGTTGTTAGGTTTGTATGAAGAAATTATGCTATTGCCTTTCTTTCCTTTTCACCAGGGATGGGAATACAGTAGAGATAATACTTCAATTCCAATCTCTACGATTTCGTATGAAATCATTCTGTAGGAGTTACGTTTTCTTGAAATGAAAAGGATAAATTGTATGAACTTAATTAAAGGTGGGGAACTGATTGGACATCCTGTTGTCAAGGAACCCAGTTCACCCCTCCTCTGCCCTCCAACTCCTGATAACACAGTGACCTTTCAACTCTTCATCTGACATCTTAAAATTATTTTCAAATACCCAAATGTTCTACTCTGAAAGCCTGCACAAGGATGGCAGAGACATGACTGTAGTAGCCAAACTCAGGGAGGACTTGTTCTGCATCTGCATTACTGTGAGTCAGTGCTATGTCTTAGAAACACAGGAGCCATCTCCAAAGTCGGCGTCACCTTTGCAGAATGAGACTGACGGACAACAGAGCTTGTATGAGAACTTTTAAAAACAATAAAATAGAAGGTAAACAATGCATTCCCTTGATACTTTATTGAGTACCTATCATGCTTAAAGCCAGAAGTTGTGCACGACAAGCGAACCTACTCAAGGCCAAGTTATGAGGGATCACATAGAATGAGCAGAACTGCTTAGAACTGAAGATGTGCCCTGCTTTCATTAGTGCCAGGCTTGGCCCCCTGCCCTGATTTGGCATTCTGCTGTGCAACTTGGTTTGACCAACCGTCTTAGTTATTTTTCTTGTTGCCAAGACAAAATACCCAACACCCAAAATTAAAAGGGAAAGGATTTGTTTAGCTCATGGTTTGTAGAGGTTTTAGTCTGTAATCAGCTGGCTCCAAGGCAGAGTGGCATGTGGCAGAGGGGCGTCAGGAGAAAAACAGTTTATAGCACCCACTGGTAGCAAAAGCAACAAGGGAACATTAACAGTATCTCTGTCTTTTATCTTAACCAGACTACTGGGATTAGGGCAGTGCACTGGTTTAGTAACCCTTAATTCAAGCATCGCTCACACTAGATTCAGCTACCTATGACCACACGAGGCTTTGGAGGGACATCTAGACCCAAACCATAACACCAACAGAATATTGGCAGACAAGACACAGCAATGTGTGTCCTCTCTTGAGTTTGCTCTCTCCATGAGAGGCCCCTGTCCTGATGGGCCTGCTCCTCCACAGGCACCTTAAGAGCTGAGCTGCACACATACCCACTGCCCAGCAGATGCACCAGGAAGTCCAGGAAGTCCAGCCAAGCAGAGCCAAGACCAGACAGCTCCAACCATCCCTTAGACACACCATAAACAATAAACTGTTATTAATGTTGCCGAGTTTTGGGGGAGTCAATGAAATAGCAATGACAAACCGATAGAGCATGTAACACAACATTTCAATTTATTAAATTTTCAGGACCATCTGAAACACTAAAAATTAGGTAGAAACACTCGGCTAAAACTAAGGGTTTCTTGCGTAGGGCCATTTTCAGGAAGAGTACCAGCCAATCTTTTTCAAAAATTAGCACTAAGAAAACAGATGTCCCAGATCCTGTGGACCAAAAGACTTGCAAACCAGTGGGCCCCATTAGAACATTCATTAGCCACACAACAAAACCTTAATACACCTAGAAATGTTATCAGTGACCTGGGGTCTAGGAAAAGCTTTTAAAACTCACCCAGTGGCTGAACAGCTATGTAGAAACAGACTAAGATGACTAGGACTCCAGTGTTGGAGGGAGACACACGTTGGGAGACTATATGATTCAAGCCTGTTAACTCTTAAATAGAAAAAGTGATCTGAAGTTGCGTTTGTTCACAAGATTCTGGGATTTTAGAAACAGTATATGCTGAAGACTATAAAGAGAAATTGCAGGAAAAAATAAAAGGAGAGACTCTATGACTTTACATGGCTGAGAACAGGGGAGACTATGGGGCCCAGCACATCTGGGACAATCTTGATTGACACTGTTGCCCTGGGTAATTATTCAGAGCACCCCTTTCCATTCTCAGAGGTTGCTGGATCAGATGATAAATTATATGGCCATCTTGTTGGCAGCAGACTTTACCCATGGGGGTGAACTGTACAGTAAGATTCTGATAAGTTCATGGGAAAAATCCTGCCATGGGCTATCCAGGCAAATAGGGCTGTTTGCTGTGAGGTGTGAAGGGCCACTGAGTCCCCTCACAGTGCATCCTTAAGCTCAGCAGTGAAGCCCAACAAGGTTTTAAAGCTGGGCAAGTGTCTCTCATGATGACATGATGCCTATGGGTGACTCCTCAGATCTTGTCTAGGAACCTTGTCTGTCCTGCTGGTGACTCTTTCTGTAAACCCCCCAAATATAAATGCAAACAATATCCCTGTTCTGTCATTACTTCTACACCAGCTCAACATGCAGAAATCAAAGCATACAGAAGAAAATGAAGTGTCCTTCTTACCCACATAGAGGTCCATATAGTCTTCTGAGCTCTAGTTGGCCATTCCAAAAACCCTAAAAATACACAGTACTACAGTAAGAATAAGATTAAGTAGAATTTTATTTATTCTTGCTTATTCAGAAAAAAAAATCTGAAATGTAAGAACACCATTACACAAACAATAAAAAAGAACTGAAGTTATATAGCTTTCAAGCACTGTGAATACTGGATAAACAAATGGCTTTAAAAATATTGCCAAGTAAAACTCTCATGCAGCTCTGCTTTAATGGACTGAAGAGATCATCAGTACTTAGACTACTTGTGCATAATTGCTGCTAAAATATTTGAAAACTGTTTGCTTTCTCAATTACCATATGCCTTCTGAGAGTTGGTTCATACTATTATTATTACTTGGCCAAGTTCCTTTTCATGGTCCCTGTATGGGTAAACCTCTACCAGATCTATCCAAATGATCACAATTCTGAATTCTCATGCTCCAAGTTAAATTTTGACTAAAACCAACATATCCTAACCATGAGAACCCTAGAGCAATTTTATATAGGAGGAAATAGGAGGTGGATTTTTGTAGTGGAGTGTACCTTGGGAGGCACATGGGGTGAGACTGGACAGAGGGTTAGAAAATGCTAGATCAACTGTGCTGCAGGGATAGAGCTGTGGAAAGTAGATGGGAGGGCATGGTATAGGGACCCATGAGGCAATCACACGGGGGCTGGATGGTTATATGTGGTGGGACTGCAGTTACTGAAACTACACATGAGTTGGGATCGGTGTAGAGGTGGAAAATGCTAAATTTGTGTTGTATGAATGAAGTAAAAGGGCAGATACATAGGAGTGGAGCATGGTAGAGGTGAGGGTTAGAATAGATATCCTGAATAGAAATATGCCTCGTTCTCATTAAATCCACTGAACTTCCCAGTCTAAGTCTGCTGTACATCAAGGAAAGCTTATATGAATATAAATATAGTCACGGAAATGATTGTGCTCCAGAAAGAACTTGGCAGAATTTGTACCTGAGAAGCTGGTGAGAAGCTGGAAGGGAACATATGTGGAAATTATCAAGAGGTACAAGCTCACAGTTCTCCTTGGAAAGATAATACCAGATTAATTACTCAACTGAACACAACTGATAGGTCCCACCCTGCCCCTCGCAGTAATGTGTGAAGTCTACTCTCTAATTTTCCTATCCGGGTTGTTGTTCTATTTTGACAATTTAAAATTTCTTCACACTTGCTTCCAGGATCCACAGGAAATCCCAATGAGGTCATTGTCTGTGGGCTCTGGGTTTCAAAATTGTGCACTGGTCACCACCAGAGAGATGGAAGAGGGCATTTGAAAAGTACTAAAAAGGGGGGCAGAGTGAAAGAAAAAAAAAAGAGAGAGAGCAGCTAATGAAGAACGGAGGTGGACAGAGAGATAGAACAGAAAAGAAACTGAGAAGGGATAGGAACAGGAGAGAAATAGCTGAGGTTATTTCTGTCTAGTGCCAAGGACCATCCTCCCTGAGGGTAGAGATGGAGGAAACCCCAAGGAGCTGTTAAGGGGTTTATCAAAGTGAGCTCAAATGTAGCCCTTCCTGCCTTTCTGTGGCTCTTCACATGTGGGATCTTGTGGCTCCTGATGTTGGTCTGGTGACATTGTCTCCATCAGGCTTCTGAGAAAACCCAATTTGAAAATGAAATGAAATAAAATAAAATAACCTTTGAAGGCCTGGGGCTGTATTTACAGATGGCTACTGGGCACTTCCACTCGCACATCACTGGCAAAGCAAAGACAATGTGCCTAAAATCAAACGTGTTTTTCTGTCAAGCTACCTCTCCTAGCCTTTTATTTCTGTCACCCCTTGTTTATTCTTCCTGTTTCCCAATGTTTGATTCATTTTTCCCAGAATTCTCACACTTTATTAGTCACCAGAATTCTTAGTTTTGCCCCAAGTATTCTTTGCTCCTGGCTTCAGGCTAGACTTTAGCACAATGAGATTCCATGGTCCCTTGCAGTCTTCCATTTTGATGCCCCTCTCCTACTAAAGCAATGATGTTACAGCAATAAGTATATGAATAACCCTTCTAGCCTGTGAGTAAGCTGGTCGTCTCTCTCTGTCATCCCATATTCCCCAAGGTTCCCTAACCTTTGACTTCTCATCAGTCCAGGCTTCTGGTCAACCTGTGTCATCGTTCTTATGTTGCTGCATTCACACATGTTGCTCCCCACCTGGCCTGTGTGCCTTGCCTACCGCTCCCAAGAGTCCCGTCTTCAGGAGTTTCCTTAGGGTGATTTATGCAGCAGATTTCTCTCTCCTCTGAAGCAGGACCCTTGCTAGCATCTATACTAGCAAATGTAGCACTGGGAATATCCTATCTGGTGTTGCACATCCTTGTTTAATGGCATTTGAGAGTATAAATTACCTCTATTCCTTCTGCATTCCAGGGCCTAGAGCACCTGATGCTCAGCAATGAGTGAATGAATGACAGGACTCAATACATATCGGTGAGGATAGCAATGAGTCATCATTGTCACAGACGAGCTCATGCCAGGAGGGGAGGGACTGGCACATCGTAGCACCTTCACACACAGATTCCCCAGGCAAGCAACCTGGGCAAGAGCAATGCTTCTTGGGAAGCCTGCACTGCACCCAGTAAGTCAGTGCCTCACCTGGCGGAAGAAGGTCAAGTTCCCGATGAAAGGGGAAGGCTTGGGGTGTCTGATGCCCAGCTTTTCCAGTGCTGAGAATGCTGACGTGGAGTACCTGGAGAGAGAGGCACATTTTCAAAACCAAGAGATTGAAGTTTGCATTCATGCTTTTGGCCTTATGCCCTTAGTTCTCTGGAAATAAGGACAGAAGAGAAAGTTTCCAGGACCCAGGGGGCAGAGGCCCAGCCATGAGTGAACAGAATAGGAACTGAGGAATCCCTCTTGATCTCGCAGTGAACTGTAGATGGAGGGATCTGAAAGCTTCAGAGGTGGGTGATACCTTGGAGTGGGGTGGGCCATTGCCCCGACATGAGTCCCACCAATGAACTCACTTCACCCTAGTTTGGTTATTTTGCCTCTAAATCTATCATGAGCAATTGCTCAGTTGGCAAGGCAAAAAAACAAAAACAAAAAACAATTCACTACGGCATAAGATAAGTTCTCTGTGCATGTTTATTTTCTTTTTTCTTTTTCTTGGTAGCAGGGATCGAACTCGGGCCCTAATGCTTGCAAGGCAGGGAACCACTGAGCTAAATCCCCGGCTGCATGTTTATTTTCTTAGTCAAGACTGGTCCCCTCATCATAACATAATCTTTCTCTTATCACATTCCATGAATGAAGTGAGAAAAGGGAAAATAGGAACAGAAGCAAACCATGGAGAGGAGACCCTAACACCAACCACTTATAACCTCTTTTAGTCTTTGTTTTCCAGATTTGCAACCATCTGGGAAACATTTTTTTTTTTTTAACCAAAAATCAGGAAGCATGGTCAGACAGATTTCTGTATCACTTTCCAGGTGAAAGCGGCATTTTGAGGAGTGCAATTTGGCTGTCAAAACATTGGAATTACTAGGCTATTGCAGCAGTTTATGGGAATGGAGGGACAGCACAGTTAAAGTCAGGACCCACTAAGGAAAACCTGGACATATGGCTTGGATCTTGAAACAGCCAGCCAATTAGGTCAAAAGTTCAGTTAGTTCCAAAAAATTAATGAATCAAACTGGGTGTTTAGCATCCTGCAGATATTAGCCAAATCACCATTTAGGGGCAAGGAAAAACAGACAATAGAACTACAGTCTAGCTTCCCAGGAGTGCCAGAACTCAAAATGAAAATAACAACAAAACAGTGCTGTAAACATCACTGACTTTATAGAAAGTGGGATATTTACTGTATTCTTAGACCTTTCCCTTTCTCATCTGCATTCCAAAAGGACCACTTAAAATGAGAACATTTCAATAAGTGTTCAGATATCAGGGAAAAGACAACCCAATTTAAACGTGTGCTTGCATTATTCTGAGCAATGGGTCTATTTTGAAAGTGGCCACAAAGGAGCACCAAACAGGACAGAAGGGAAGGCAGGTGGTCCTCCCAGCTTGCCTAAGACTGCCACCATCTGGGGGTATTATTAGGTTTGAATGAATTCCCACGGTATCACATTTAAGTACACGTTCAAGGGTAATTACAAACCATGCTCCAGAGCCACATCCACATTGCATGGATTAGTCATGCCAACATTCCTCTTCATTAATGTGTGTACCAGAGGTTGACAGCACAGTTGGTAAAAGTTATTCTTTCAAGTAGATGATAATATTTTAAATGACTCCCTTATACTAAAGGGGAAAGATCAAAGGGAACTTAGCAGCTCATTTATTTCCTCTAACAGTCTCATATCAGGAGTCAACATTCATTTCTTCATCAGTTTTTGTGAATTCTTTTCTAAATGTAATCTGTAATGGGTAGAAAGAAATATGAAGATCTTGGGCCACATAATTACATCTTAATTTTGTAATTAGATGTCTTGATTGTCTAATTAAAGGACAAGAAGTCTGTGCCTAATTACACATGCTAATTATTATGCAAGCCCATGCCCTAATTATGTAACTCCACTTATGAGAACATTGCCTGTGTGTGTCTGCACAAAATCCAGACATTTGCTAACATATGGCATCAGCAGAGTGTCCTGAACATGACCACAAACTTCCCTTCTCAGCCTGTACTCAAGCGGAGGATGTAAGTGCCTTCAACTGGGGACTGGCCAGATATCACCACCAGTAACCAGGGTCCCTGCACCCAAATGGGCAGGGGAGTCACTGCCACCAGATAGAACCACTGGTTCTATCTGCCTCACTCCATCTTTCTTCTCTACAGCCTCATTTCATACTCTCTGGTCTTCACATATTAATAAATTGATATTGAAAAAGATAAGCTGAAGTCCTAGCCTCCCAGACCTCAGAATGTGACCTGATTTGGAAACAGGGTTGTTGCCAGTGTAATGAGTTAAGATGAGGACATGCTGAAATAGAGTGGCTCCCTAATCCAAATGTCCTGGTAAGAGGGCAGCGGTGTGAGGACAGAGACAGATGTGACTACGAAGGCAGAGGCAGGGTGACACAGGGACAATCATCAGCAAGCGCCCCACGACTTGGAAGAGACAGCAAAGGATTCTCCCCTACAGGGCTCCGAGGGAGCATGGCAATGCTGACGTCTTGATTTCCTACTTCAGCCTCCGGAACTGTGAGATGCTAAGTTCCCCATGTTTTAAGCCACTCAATTTGTGATCATTTCCAGGGAAGTCCTAGAAAAGAGTTATACCAGGAATGCCCAGGAAGGAGTTTCAGAGCCATTGGAAAGATGTTTTTTAAAAATTCCTCCTGTTACTTTAACATTTTTGTAAAAGAAATTTCTCTTTTGTATCAAATTGTGTCATTTGACTTCTGTGCCATCCAAAAAAGTCCAGGTGGCCTGGGATGCTGCTATGGAAAGCAGGTGATATGCTCATCCCACAATCACCATGTGATGTGTAGAATAGCTTTCTTCTGACAGGAATTAATGCAAATGCATCCCACAATTATGATTATGGACATCTGTCATTGTTTACATTAAGGATACTTAAATTGCAAAATGACAACAGCAAGTATATATAGCTTTAGATAGTGTTCTTTGGTTTTAGTTTCACAACTAAAGCAGTCATTAAATGCTACAGTAGAAAAATCCTGCAGTGCTGGTAGTAAGACTTATACTGCCCTTTCCTAAAATAAACAGAACCATATGGATCATTTTCAAAATAAGGTTCAAAGTTTAAAGGCTGAAAGTTCCTCTAATGTTTCATTTTCCTTAAGACAAATGCCTTCTCTTATGGGGTCAACAGAAGGATGTGACCCTTTTTTAGCCAAAGAAGCCACTCATGATAAATTGGGGGTGCTTCAATGGCTCATATATTAGGGTCGAATGGACTGAGGTTCGAAGCAAAAGAAGAAACCAGTCAAAGACCTCACCAGCCATTATATGAAAGTTGTAGTCACATCAATAGCATTATTAGAGACAGGCTCTTAAACTGTTGTCTTGAGAAATGTGTTAAAAAATAGGAGTAGGGCATGAGGTTTGCTGGCCTTGCAGATGGCAGTTCTCAAAGTACTTGACAGAAATGTGGGCAAAACAGCCAGACCTATCAGGGAGGAAAGCCTACTTTCATTTTACTGTAATTTTATCTAGTTTCTTCTATCTGTATATTTTTATATGTTTAGATAATAGTCTATATTTTTCTATTTTTATTCCTTCATATTTTTACTCTTGCATTTCACATAATCAAAAAACTATTATCAATCCTTTGTGAATATTACTTTAATGGTTGTATAATATTCCTCTTGTGTACTTAACATTGTTTATTAAATTATTCCTATTGTTAAATATTTAGAGTTTTTTCTACTTTTAGTTCCATTAAGTCATGATGATACAGTGAACATTTCTGTGTCCCAAAGTTTTCCTGCACCTTTGTATGAAAGATTTTCCAGACCTGAGATCCACCAGTCTTTGGTTTTGCTACATAGTGCAAAAAGCTTCCCAGAAAGTTTGCCGCCCTTATTTCCAGGTTCTCATCCCCATTTCACCAAAACCACGATGCATTTTTTCCTCATCCATGGACACATCAACGTACCTTGATATCTGCGTTTCTTTCACTGAGTGAGACAATATTTTTGCCATTCCTTCTCCAGTTCCAAAAATACTTTCCGACTTTGAAATCATTTCCCTCCCTCCTTTCCTTCCTTCCTCCCTTTCCCCGCCTGCTTCTCTCTTTTCTTTCTCCCTTGACTTCCCAGCATGATTTATCTAGGTGGCAGGCAGAAATGTCCTAAACAACTGGTTAAAGAACTAGGTGGAAAATGCACATCGCTGATAGATGACTGCAAGCTGACTCCACACACTCATTGGGGCACAGAGAGGAGGACAGATAAATTCTGAACAGCTCCATTTATTTCGAAAATAACTCAGTGCGACCTCGCTGGTCGACTTGACATTCCCTTGCCTTCTCTCCTTGCCCCATTCCTCCCCTATGCACAACAAGAGAAACTGTAAGGATAGAAATGGATTAAATATCGCCTCTAGGCAGATATTTCCAGGAAACAAGTTGTGAAATGCAGAGTTTAGATGAAGGCTATCTCATTTCCCCTTTCTTTCTGAGACAGGGTCATCCTCTGTAGTTCAGGCTAGCCTTGAACTCACTATATAACCCAGGGTAGCCTTGAACTTGCAGCGATCCTCCTGCCTTAGCCTCTCTAGTACTGCAATTATAGTTGTGTGCCATTACACTTGGCAATAATACTATTCTTTTTGTTGTTGTTATTGTTGCCTTTTTTTTTTTTTTTTTTTTTTTT